CGCCGCAGTCTTTTATTTTTTTCTGGCACGAATTTCTTGTATTTCAGTCGTTTAGCAATTCCCATTGGAAGATGTTAAGCATCCCGAGAGAGAAGTCTTCGCAGTCCCACGAGAGAAACCCGTTCACGCGTTCTCACCGAGACGAGATCCCGGCGATCTTCCAAGCAACGTCGGCACACAGGTAGCCGAGAGGAATTTCCACGCTGGTTGAGCGGTCCGATCGGAGCGATGGAAGGCTTTTATGATGGCAATCGATCCAACGCGAGAATAGAGAAGGAGGCGGAGGCCCGTACGATTCGTGAATAAATCGTCGGTAGGAGGCTGATCGCCGCTGGTTTACAAACAATACACGGCGGAATACACGCAGCTCGGTGCACAATGGCGGCGAGGATTCACGCGTGGATCGCAATAATTCCGGCCGTGTAGCCGGGCCACGTGATAGGTGGTAACTGGTAACTGGTACCTGGTGATTTGTAACTGGTAGCCCGCGGTGCCCCGGCTAATCCCACAAAGAGCGCCGACCTTTGAAATTTCTGGACAATTTATCTCGTGGCATGCAGCGTGCGCGCGAGCGCCCTCCCTGCGCCGCCATTGTGACAGCCAGTCGGAAACCAACCTGCTTGTTCGTTCGAGGATTCGTTTTCTCCTTCTCTCTCTCTCTCTCTCTCTCTCTCTCTTCTTCTTCTTTCTTTTATTTTTCTTCTCGGTGGATGTCGATGCCACGTTACGACACGGATTGCTTTTTTTCAGAGGAGAGGAGCGAGAAATTTCATAGATGGATATTTGAACTTTTAGAATTCGCATCTATTTCGCGTCGAAATTTCAGATTTATTCGAATCGAGTTTCAGCCGATGTCCGATTAAGTGAATCTCTTGCTGTCGAACTCAGTTTATATGAATTTGAAACGTTTTATCACGCGAGTTCTGTCTCGTCGTTCCTTTCCATTCTAATCATTTTTCGTTTCTTCTTTTCATATCACTTCATCGTTTCTTGTTTCATTCGCTTCTATACTTTTTCTTAATTTTGAATAAAATGCAGAAACTAATATCTCCATCCCTTAAATACTACAACCCCCAGTTATCCCTACTTTGCATTTTATTCCCATAACGCACCAAAGAAGAATTAACGTTTCGAAGAATGAAACGGGATGATTCGGATCGCAACTCCAACAGTTCCGATGAAAAACCAGGCACTCGCAACGACAAAGTTTGCAACCGGTATCGGCCCTTGGATCAAAGCTGCCGCTAGATCCACAAATTAGGATTTCCAAAAACTCGGTAACAAATTTCTTTCACGGGGGAAGGAACGTGGCACACGAGGGCTGATGGTCTCGAGGGACTACTCGTATTTTCCTTCGATGAAATCTTATCTGTTGGATCGGGAACGGGCGAACGAGGCGAGAGTGGAAGATGGAGGAAGGGAAACGCGGCACCGAGAAATCGGCGGGGGTCCACGGTCAGAAATACAAGGACTCGGGGGGGTTCCAATTTCTCCAGGCGCGCGCAACGTGTCGCAAAAACGCGTCGGGGCCAACGATTCTCGGAAAAAAAGGCCACTGTGTCTTCCCTCGGTCGCGCCGGATCCTCTGTCCACGGTCGTTTCCGCTTCGCCTTTGCCACAAAACGTTGCGACGATGACTGCAGTAACTTTGTGAAACTGAAGACTCGATAAGGAGCCGAGAAGCTCTTTTTGTTCCATTCAGACTTTCCTTTTCTGACGCTGAATGGAAGCACTTGATCAATCTGATTCTTCACATTGTTGGATGACCAATCTGGACAATATTGAATCTATGCAAATACTGACAATGAGCTAGCAACAGTCCACATAAAAGTGAACTGTGAATAGTTAGTCATAAGGGCAAGATCCAATAGTTGGTCATCTATGCTCCTTCCCCTTCCACTTGACAATGATAACCAAATATATATAAGGACATGCTTTAGAGACATTCGACAGCATGAAACATTCTAAATCATTAGAGAGACATTCTATATCATTAAGAGCATTAAACATTCTGAATCATTCTACATCATATTCAAAAGCATTAAACATTCTAAATCATTGTAAATCATTCTATATCATTCTATTTCATACACGACCACGACTGTAAGGGAATAAATTCTTCTAAATTATAAGCGTGTTGACTCCATTACACGGAATCCAACAACATTCTCTAAAATTTCTCTAAAATTTCTCTAAAATTTCTATTTGATGTGCGTAAATATTCTCGTTTAAAAAGATTTTATATTATTTATTATTTATTATTATTTATTATTTTATATTATTATTGTATATTATTTATTATTTATTATTTTATATTATTATTTTATATTATTTATTATTTATTATTATTTATTATTTATCAAACAATTTACGAAGAATGTTACAATTGGATTTCTGCATTTTTTTTCTATCTAACGAATGTTACTATTACTAACGAAAACTATTTTCTATCTAACGAATGTATGTTGTACAAGTAGCGCTTATACTTATTCGTACTTTATGTCTTGCCATAAACGTTACAGCATACTATTCCCACTATTCACTCTGGTATTGATAAAGTCAATTTAAGTAACGCAGAATCGTATCTCTATGCTCCTATAAAACAGAAGTGAGTCTTCCTCCAAGTTTCCCTCAAAATGGAAAGACTTTCAGAAAAAATTTTTTTAAAAGCGCGTCGTTAAAAATGTCGACAAATGAATTCGAGTGTTGAGATTCAGTGTCTAAAATCGCCAATCCCTCGAAGAGGTATCAGGCTACGCCACTGGAACGAGGACAACTTGATTCTCGCGTGGACAAAAAGCGGGGACGTGCGGCGGTCCGCGTTTCTTGATTCGTCGCGGCGCGAGCCGTGGCCTGCAAGATAAAACGAGCCTAATCCGCAAAACAAACCGATCCTCGGGCCGAAGAGGGCTGTTTCGAGACTGGGCCTGTTCCACGGGTTTCGCGGGCAAACCCGTCACGGCGACGAAAGGCCCGATTCGTCGAAGGGGCCCGGGTCCCCGCGCGACGAGACCCACGACTACCGCAAATGACTTTATTTATACCGTCGCCCCTTATTAGGCACTCCCCTGAGCCGTGGCCGTGTAAGGTTGTCGGAAGGTAATTTCGCCGGTATCGGCCGCTTCTTTTGTCGGACTCCTTTCTTTTTCTTTTTTTCTTTTTTTTTTTTTCTTGCCACCAGCCTGAAATTACTACGGAGCTGAAGCGAGCGTTGCGCGACACACTCGCTGCTGTGTGCGTCGTTGTTGCTCGTTGGTTGTTGGCTGTTGGTTGTTAGTCGGTTGTGTTTCGTTGGAAAAGTAACTTGTGACGAAGCTGGGTTCTTATGCACGTTCCATTCAGGGTGCAGCTGTGGATTGGACGTGAGGACGTTGAGGTTTCTTTTTAATTCGCGACGGAGGTTCAAGTGATTGTTGTTCGACCTGGAAATATGTAGGTTGTATTTTGTTGTGTGTGAAACGTGAGTAGATGAAAGTTTGACTTCGAGCGTGTAGTTCAGTTGGAATACTTCGTTTTCCGAGTCGTATTGTTCGACAGAGATTGTTCCTTGTTGCCACGGAGGTTAAGAAGTTAAACCTGAAAAGATTCAGGAATGTTAGAGGCAGGTTTATGGAATTTTACGTGAAATTACATAATATGACTTCTTCCGGGGAACAAGAATTTTGAATTCTTGAATTAGCTGATGATACGATGATGGTAGTCCACTGCGTGGATGTCGCAGAGGTTTCTTACTGTGGTGAAGGTTTGTATTATTCACTTTTATTAAAATTACACAAGAAGTATACAGTTTTCTAAATAATACAAAAATTACAATAACATTAAGTTTTCTTCGATACGGTATGTACAACAGAGTATATTTATATGCATTATTATATAATATTATATTATATTATGTATAATATATATATAAATCAAATCATATCTATGCGTACACATGTGGTATGGTGTTTATAAAAGAGTACTTTCATTTTGGACGCAGAGAAAGGATGAGTTAGTTGCGTGTGATAATACAAGGTACGAGCTTCGTTCGTTCGTCTTCGTTTGCGAAACGATCACGGACGTACATACATGTGTATACTTTTGTTTCATTTGGTTAAAAACGACGCGACCCTACGACACTGAAGGGAGATAATATATAAAACAAAAAGTGACAGACACGTAGATAGTATTATCGTTAATGATTACACCTGTCCTCCGCTTAATGCATCCGCTTACGCTATCTATTTCAGCTAAACAAAATAAAAATCAAGTCAAATGCACGTGCGCCTGCGTTATGCAACACGTTCTGCTCGCTCTTCCTCTGATTCGGCGACGTTGCCGCGGCTTCGTCGTCATCAAAATCGAATGTTTCCTCTGCATTTCATGCGATCAAAATTCTATTTTCAATTTGACTGTGGTCAATTTAATCTGTTCCGGTATGTTTGATAAGAGATATCAATCCCCCCGATTCCAGTTCTACTAGTTTCTAATTATTAACTCGTTATTCGTTGATAAGGAATGAATTCATCCAACATCAGTATGAACGGCGACAGGATTATTCGAATTGACGTTAATAATAAAAATTACTGAAATTTTGTATGACTGATGACAATTTACTTTGAACGAAGAGCTGGAAAATAGTAAGTATAGAAAATAGTTGTATTAGGACTGCAGTTGGTACGATTGCGATTAATATTGTCACAAGTTCTTGAATATAAATTATGTTCTGTAGAACATTAGAGAACGCAGTTTACGATCAACGAATATTCGTGAGAATATTAGAGAGGCATGAATCGCGACGAGTGTCAAATCGACGAAGCCGGGCAACGTGACAGGACCCGCCGGAAAATAGACTAAACAAACAAACAACAACAACAATTAATAATAATGTCCGCCTCCGCGGCGATCAGCGCCGTTCACACGACTTATGACACTGTGTTAAGTCACGCGTCGATTCGCGTGCAGTGTTTGCCAAGGACCAGAGAAATTCGATCACTACATCGAGAAATATCATCTTTATACTCGTATTCGCAATTCAAGTAATCGTAAAGTTACTTTAAATATAATTACACGCTGAATGTTCAGTGATTTCTAAACGAGACTGTATATTGTTTGCACCAGCGGGACTTCGTATAATAATGATTTAGACCGTCGATTTTTACGTGCAAAAACATGCGAAATATCCAGTGTAGAATATTTGTTACAATCGCGCTGCGGATTTTTCGCAAATTCATATTTTTGTGAAGAAAATTTGAAAGAGGTAGAAGATTGGGTGGAATACTGCATTCTGGATACTTTTGCACGTCACATGCATTCTGTACATTTCAAGTTTCTCATAAATGCACAAAGTTCAAAAAAGGTCTAGTTACCAGCTATGTACCAGATAAGCATCTTCAATTATGTTCACGCAAATGCAAAAACGCGTACAAGTCCGCGGTCTACAGATAATAGATAAATAAATGGATAACGCGATGGAAGATACATCTCGGCGATAATCAAATTTCTGAAACGGATCCTCGGCGAGCAGTTGGAAAGAGAGAGAGAGAAAGAGAGAGAGAGAGAGAGAGAAATTAAAATATAAGAAACGAGAATTAAGAAAAGTGAAAACGACAGTCGGAAAGGCGAGAAGCAGCTTCCCTCGCGAGCCTTCCCATTCATTGGTTGTATTTTGGCACGGGGATGAGTAACCAGCGCGTCTCTTTGAATCTGACAAAGCTTCGTTCGCGTCTGATCGAACATGATAATTTTTCCCTTTTCCTCCGGAAATGTTTCTACGTGTCAAAAATAATTAGAGGAAAGCGCTGCTCTAGTGGATTTATCTTCTTCCTGGTCTCAAGTTTCTTTCCAATCGCTTTGGTTATCTCGAAGAGTGTCATTTTGTTGTTAAAAACATAAATATACGTGTATATTCTTTCTTTGTTTCGAGGCGCTTTCCTTTCAATAAATATCGTTTTAATTTAATAAAATAAACAATTAAAGCTTCCCCGACGAGAGGGTTAACCCTTAAGTACTACAGACGTCGAAATTTATGCTACTATAAAAAGTCTCGTAGATTTTTGCTGTTCTGTCTAAATTAGAGTTAGTTCAAGTTTGATAAAAATTTTTAACTTGCTTTATATATGTTGTGTATAATAAAAGATAATAGTGAACGTATTGAAAAATAGAAAATAACGCGAGAGTAGGAGAAATAGAAATAAATACGACTTGTAGTATTTAAGGGTTAAAGATACATTCAATTTGTTTGAGCTGAACTTTGTTGTAGCTTGTTTCAGCTATCAACGTTTCTCGATTCGATTGGGTCAGTGGTGAAATTTGTTTTACTTGTTCGATTTGCGAACCTGTGGAGGCCACCGTCCAGCGGTTAGATCCACAACACCTCCGTCGACCGGATTTCCTTTATTACTCGTACGATCTTCGGTGTCTAGAGGGAGTCAAAGTTCGATTCTCGATCGCTGGTCTGGAAGAATCATTCTCTGTGATTAGAAACTATTTCTAAATTAAAAATAACAGCCTATCGTTTCATTGCACCACTACATTTTGATTATTGTGCGCCAGCTATAGCAATCACTGTAAAATGAACTTTCGAAGTTATGAGATGTGTTATATGTGTTCATCATTTTTCGACAAAAACGTAGCTGTGAATGTTTGTATCAATTATATAAATTCGACTGCAAATATTTATGCATTTTGAAAACTTTATGAGTATGAAAATCTAGAGCACGTAATATACAAAACACCAAAACTAAAGTAATCATTGCATTTAATAGATAAAGCAAACTCCATTCAAGGAATTGTCATTAAAAATCCACATTACGTTAACGCAACACTTTATTTGCAACTCATTCAATTTTACGAAATTCTAAGAAATTGAAATATTTATAACATTATGCTTGATTTTTAATTCCGTTCTTTCAATCCTTGGCTTCGTAAAAATATAAAATTGCACATTCGTTCGTAAAAATAAAAAATTGCAGTCCAACTAATTAAATTATGTAAACATCGGGCACAGGAAACAACGCACAAAGAAGTAGAAATTTGAAATGGTGCTTGAATCTCGCTCGTAACTCACCTTATCCGGGCTATAAAGTGGCGGATGTTGCGCCGGAAGTCTCAACGTGCTTCCCAGATCCCTCTCGGCCATTGTATGCCCCTCGCTGGCGCTGTCTCTCGTGTCTCTGTTGTCTCTGGCGTCCTTAACGCTGTTTCTTCTGGCATCGGCGACTTTTGTGGGCGGTTGGATGGTTGTTTCGCCGCATGATCTGGCGAGAGTCGAGCCAGCCTCGCCTAGATCGAGCCTCAGCAGCTTCGTCGGTGCTTGGATGGTTGTCTCGCCGCAGGAACGCGCCAACGTCGAGCACAAATCACCCTGGAGATCACCGGTTCGCAACACTTTCGTCGCTGTCTCGACCGTGGTCTCGCCACATGAGCGAGCTAACGTCGAATCGGTGTCCATTTGACGAGTTACCGTTGCTGATACCTGAGAAACGTATGAAATAATCAATGCTTTTTTGTTCGTACGGACTTTATGAATTGGCTATGAAAAATTATAAATAGGATAATAGCGCTGTTTCGTGACTTTGGTAGATTGATAATTCTTGTTTCTAAATTTTATCAACGTTATATCTGTACTCTTTCTTACTTTCCGTGAGATCAGTTTCAAGATCGTAGAATGCGTTTTACTATAATTATAAAAGCGATAGCTTTTAATTATATATATTTATATTATTAATATTAAAAATAATATTTATATTATTATAGTGTTGGAAAATTAAAAAATTGTAAATTTTAGAACCGATATTAATTTACGATTAATTAATGAAAGAACACACCTGAAAACCAGCGCTAACGAGAGCGCCAGTCGGTGCGGCCGGCGTTCTGACGAGCTGCACCTCAGACTCCTTGCAATCTTTCACGCTGGATACGCTCTGCTTCCTGTTTCCGGTGTTATGCGTGCCGCTTTCGAGGTAGTTGAGCAGCTTGTGCTCTTCTGTCGAGAACGTACTCATGCCGGACTTGTAATTCTGCGGAGACTGGGGTGCAGATCGATACTTGGCACGTGGGATCATCACTGTCAACGAACGATCTCGTTGTTCGTCATTCACTGGTACTGTAACCAATATCACAAAGATAATCTTTGATCATTTATAACACAGCAACAGAAATTTCCATGCTTCAATGCTCTTTCAACCAAATATTTTTTGACATGGTATTCATTTCCTTTTTCCTCGAAAACTGTTAAATAACTTTAAATTTCTCACTTTAAGTTTTCAATAAAATTGTTCAAAATGTTTTTAAAACGGAAGAAATTTAAACAGATTTTTAATAACTTTAAATTCTCGTCTCTTGAAAACATTCTTGCATTTCCATCAAAATGAATGACAAAATTTTTTTTTTCTAAAACATAATTTTTAGACAAGAGAGCCTACCCGACGCAGGTATCATAGTAGCTTTTCTCGGCGGATGCCTGGGTTTCGCGCTGATCTTTCGAGCAGGCCTCTTGGTCGGTGGCAAGGGTGCGATCATTTGTGGGGGTGGCGGTAGAACATGCGGCACGTGGTGTGGAATAGCCAGATCCGTGACACTACCCTCGCTACTCGTGTCCCCGCCTGTTCCAGGAATCATGGCCCTTCTGTCGCCAGTTCTCCGTTTCCGACTCGGTTGACGGAAACATGCCATGCCCACGCACACCGCCAGAAGACCCAGTAATATTGCACCGGTCGTAACCAGAGCTATCAGCAGCACTGCAAGATTTACGGTCCGACGTTACATTGGAAAATGAAATAAAACATTAACAATTAATTTCATTTTAATTTTTTCATCTCATTAACTAGGAAATATTTCATCCACGTATTTTATCTAAGTAATACTTATTCCTTTGTCTGAGTAGAAAATTTATTGAGAATTTATTAAAGTTACCTTTGAGATTAACTTGACATCGTTGACCACTATGCCAAGGGAAACACTCGCAGACTTCTTGACCATTGGTGTTCGTCACGCAGTGTCCTTTGTTATTGCAATTAGGGCAACCCAACGGCGCCTGAGAGCAAAGTCTCCCAGGATACGCGGGATTTTCAGACAAATCTGCCCAGCCTTCTTTGCAAGAACACTGATAAGAACCTCGGAGATTAAAGCAGGCAGCGTTCGGTGAGCAGTCATGGTGAGGCCCTCCTTCTTCCGTCGCGCATTCGTCGAAATCGATTGCCTCGATCTGAAATAAAGAAATATTTTGATATATTTCAACACACAGACATACACACACACACACACACACAAAAGAAATACAAATAATATATTTATCACTACTAAAAAATTTTAATTTCTTTATTGACTTGTTTCTTTACTTTACTTGAAGAATGAGACACTCACGACGTCAAGATTTTTCGAGGCATACACCTCAGTGCCTCCCAAGCTATAGTTGCTTCCAATTAGATACTTTCGAAGGACTTCTTTCAGCCTCGTTTCATTAGCATTATCGCTGAGCTGAACATGGAACTCGACTTTCGTTGGGTCAGGCGAGAAACCAGCTATCTTCAAGCCTCTATAGACGTCTCTCAGATCACTCTGCATCAGAGTTCTATCCAGGGCCTCTTTAGTAGGGCCCAGCAATTTTCTGAAACTCGTCGACGTCGAATCGTTCATGCTGTTTTCATAGACCACTGGCTCGTATCCGATGCGTTCCAGGCCAACGCGTAACGTGTACGTATAAGTGGCTATATGAAAAGAATATAAAAATAAAGAAACACTTGCTAGAAAGCTCTGCGACATTTTAGCAATTTAAAATTCTAAAAAATTAATCGTACGATTGCATTACATTGAATAGCGAGTTTTAAATTGACTTCAAGAAAGAAAGCTTAATAGATTCGAACTTGATGGCTCACGTTTGCAAGGTCGATCAGGGAACATTCTGGCGAAGCCTGGACGACAAACGCAACGCATTTCACCTCCAACTTCCGCGCATATCTCAGCCCTGGATGCTCTACACTCTGGCGTACATTGATTCACGATAGGTTGAAGCGACACCACAGGTGCTCCGAGAACTCCGCCAGCCAAAACTCTGTGGACTTCGTTTCCAGTTGGATCTTGCTCGTCTCTCGAAACATCATCGTATTCAGCCTCCACCTGAACAAGACATTGTATTAAATACAAGTTTTATACTCTTGTAACAATATACAGATAGACTGTAGATCTTTATGAAGATAATTTGAAAGATTAAAATGTAGATAAAAGAATTGTTTCATCTATTAAATATTATACACATTAAACACTCTGTGTATTTTTGTATTTTATTTCTAAACTTTCCGTATAATTGCATAAAAATCTTCCAGCCTGTGTACAACAAAGCGAGAAAAATTTGTTTCTTACGTTTACCTCTTCAGCACCATGTGCCGGTGGCTTCTGGTCGCTCACCACCACGAAGATGGAATCATTGTCCACTGCATTCTCGTAGGACGGAGGTATTCTAGTCACCACAGATTGCAGGATCGTTGACGTAACCGTGGAGACCACGCTGGTTGGACGCAACAACGTTTCCGTCACAGTTTCTACAGTGGTCGATGTCAACGTGTGGGTGAGCACTAGTGTTCGAGTCGTAGGTGGTGAACCCAAGACAGATGTTTCCGTTCTCGTTACCGTTGACGTCTGGAATCGCGTCACCTGTGTGGTAAAGGATTGCGACGCCGACTGAAACGTAGTCAACTCTTTATACATCGTTCTCTCCTCGAGAAACTTATTTTTTTAATTATGAAGCTAATATTTTTAGGAATTCATTGGTTTGATAATTAATTTGAATTTTAATACTTCTGACATGGATATGAATTATTTTTCAAAATTTTTTGATAAAATTTATACACTTATACATTGTGACAACAAAAATTTCTTCCTGTTTCTCCACAGACAACATATATCTTTCCAAATAAATTTTTATAATATCAGATTCATATAAATATAAATAAATTGAATAATTGGATGAAATAAATATAGATAAATTAAAACATATCGTGATTTAAAGTATTCAAATTCAAGTTGAACTCACCTCTTTAGACTTGGTACGCATAGTCGTCGTGGTTCTATTAGCATCGCGTGTCACACTACTAACGTCCTTCGTCATCTTGATCATCGACTCGTTTCTCCTGTCAGTATCTTTGGACAGCGTGCTCGTTACCTTCGTTATCGAACTGTCAACCCTGGTCACCACGCTCGGCAATTCCTTCGAAGTGGTCTCGTTCTTTCGCTTACGTTCTGTCGCCGACGAAACGACCACCCTCGAAACTTCGTTCTTCGTCACTGTAGGCCGCGACTCCTTCGTCTGGCTCGTGCTAACCACGTGGTGTGTCAAAACTTCCGTAGGTTCCACCTTCGTCGATGGTAAAACGTTGTCGTGACTCGACTCCAAAAATACTGGATGCTCTGGACGTTTCACAGGATTTCGTGGGATATCGAGATTGTGGGATCGCGTTGGTTCCACGTCTCTGATGGTCGACGATCTGCTTGGTTGAATGTAGTCAACTTGCGATGGTCGTAGTTTCGTTGGTATTACTAGATTCGTGGTTAGCAACGCAGTCGGTTGTATCGATATTCTGGAAAATTTCGGAGTTCAATTACTGGTTAATTTGAGTCTATATAATTTTTGAATCGAATCGAACACGTATTACGTTACGTTGGAAACACACGAGTAAAGTGAGGAAATAAAAATATTAAAGAAATTAAGTTAAGTTAATGGAATATTTTTTTTTTTTTTTTTTTTTTTTGATACCTAGATACAGGTCTCGTGTCAAACGGTCGCACGGTGTAGATGCTAACGTGCTCCGTCATCCGGGTTTCGACTGGCCGGAGAATTTCAGGCACGTCCACAACCACTGGGAGATCGACAGTGCCGTGTATGATCGGTATCTTCGATTCGATATCCTGGACCACTGGTATGTGAGATGTTGCGACGGCTGTCGCGATTTGAATCGATCCAGACACCGCCACCGCTGGCCTCACCGTGGCTATTTCCAGAGGTCTTGCGGTTTGTGTTACTGGCGGCGGAGGTACCATATCCTGGAAAATATGAAGTCAAAAATAAACTCACTAAAATAGTTAAAGAATTAATCAGGAATATCATTTATTAATTATTTTAATTGTAGAGAGGATTCTGAGATTTAAGCGACTTGGAGCTTAGTAAAATTTATTAGTAAAATTTCTAAAATTCTAAAATTCCAGACAATTTCTTTCAAACAATTTCCAGTCCTAGAGCTTAATTCCCAAAACTTAACTTAAAGAAACTTGAAAATCTCAAAAATCGACCAACAATAAACTGTCTATGCTCACACAGACTAACTTCGCCTAAAAAAAAATTTACCTGAGATAACAATTCCACGATGAAGGGCCTAGCGATAGATGGTCTCGGACTAGGAGGTACCATGCTAACACTAGGCAAAGGAGCAATGGTAGACTCCTTTAATGGAATGTACTTAGGTGGAGGCTTCAACCCAGACTCATTAGCATTCGCAAACGAGAATCTATCTTCCATGGGATTGCTAGTCGTAGTAATGTCAACTGGTGGAGGCGATAGTCCAACAACATCTCTCGAAGGTATAGGCGGTGGCTTCAAATCTTCTTCCTCGTTCTTATTCGACTGATTCAACCCAATAGCAGGTCTCAATGGCGGAGGCATCATATCTCTCGAAGGCACGCTCATTCCTTCCATACTACTCAACATATCTCCAGTAGACGTTTCTACAGGTCTCACTCTGATTTGGCTCTCGTGATTCATAGAATCATCCTTATTCGCGTCTGAAGCTGCAAAGTTCGTCTGATAAGAGCCATCTATCTTCTCGTTGTTTTTCTTCTTATCGTTAGAACTGCTGGTGATCAACATACTCGGTGGTCGTTCAGTTTGCGTCTTGCTGTCAACTTCTTCGCCCATAGCCTCCACAGGCATGGAGAATCTAATACTAGGCACGGTTTCGCCTTTGTTAGCTGTTGAAATGGTAATTGGTCCAGGTAATTGAGGTTTCGGCTTGGTAACGATATGAGGATACTCTGGGTGAATTATAGTTCCTGAATATTCTTGTTGATTCACCGTAGGACGATTCTTTTCTGAATCTAGTTTGACACTCTCAGTGCTCGTTTGAAGATACTGACCGTCCACTTTGTGGGAAATGGAGATGTTTCTATAATGATTCTTGACAATTTCGCTCATGTTTACCAGAGTCTCGTGTCTATTTGGTCTTTGGTCATTAATCTTCATTTCACCGTTCCAATTTTGGTCCACGAAGCCTCCCAATTGGAAATGACTCTGATTTAGTTTGTTAGAATGGCTCATAGTATTATTCAAAAATGAATCCAGGTTCCCTGGTTTGCCTTCGTTGGATTGTTTCACTTTATCTGGTCTGATTTCAGAGGTTTGGCCTACGATTTCTGGTCTGGGATACAGTACAGGCCTAGTCTCTACTTTGTTTATCATAGGTGGTCGAGGATATGGTCTGTTAGGTTTGTCCGAGTCGGGAACAAACTGAGGAATGATGGCTGGTGGTTTCAGATCTATGGTGTCGTCGTGTTCGCGAGTTGGTACAGTCGATGTTTGCTCCTTTTGATTTTGATTCTTATGACTGACTGGAGATACTTTATTGCCATAATACGTCGACGGTATACTTTGTACTACGTCGTATTCAGATTTGTCTTCTTTCCATTTGTAGCCGTAGTTCATTTCTTCCTGGCCAGTGTACACGCCAAATGGTTTTCCTTGAACCACTGGTGTTTCATAAAGCTTGGTATTGTAATAATTAGGCCCATACGGTATTTGGGACTGCGTAGCTTCGTTCTTTTGCGAAAACGGAGAACCTGGACTTATCCAGAGTGGCCTTTCCTTTTGATCCTGTTGAGAATCAACTCCTCCAGATGGTTTCACAATTACTGTATTACTAGGAGCAACGTTTACATGGGAATTTTTGGTGTTTGACGTTGTAGCGTTAGTTTGGTTAAGGAAAGGCGTGTCTTCTTTCGTTTTATTGTGTTTTGGCACTTCTTTTGCTTGACTGTGATAATTTATGGGTTCCGAGGCGCCGATTTCTGAATCCAGCGTCTTCTCTGTTTGTGAGTTGTCACCATTCCAAGTTTCTATTTTACTGTCTTGATTAAGTGGACGCTGATCGATGTTTTGAACTTCCGTATTTATTGCAACCGGCTTGTCATCTTGTTTGATTTTAGGATTCGAGGGATTGTGGTACTCTACCGCCCCGGTGGGCACGTGTTCTTCTGTTCTCTCGGTTTGAGGTCTTAGTTGACCAATGTTTGACGGTCTCTTTTCGGGGTAGAAATGAGGTGGTCTGTCTTGAAGATCAATCTGTTGAAAAAAATGGGAATATTATATGATTCAGAGATGTGTATATTACGTAGTTGGACATAAATATTTAAATATCAAGTTTCAATATTCAAAATATTAAGATATTCAGAAGACCAAATATTGAAATATTTAAACATTCAAATATTCAAATATCCAACGTTTGAATCTTCAAATACTGAAGTAATTAAATTATCAAATATCCAGGTAAAAATACGAAACTTCATTTACCTGAGAGTGAGACCCGAACGAAGGATGTCGTTCCGTCACCAGCTCCTTCATCGTGTCTCCAGGAGTTGAAGTGGTTATTCTCGGCGGTTCATGATGAATTTGTGTATTACCAACAGGTCGATGAGGGAATACAAACGTGTTATGCGTGTTTGTCGGAGGCCTTTGTGGCCCATTGTAAACTGGTTTCCTGATACTCGGCCTTTCCTGGTAGATCGGCCTATCCAGAGGACGACTAGTCGTCGATCGCAAAGATGGACGTGGTCTCAACCTGTTATTCATCAGAATTCTCGGTGGTTTCTTGTCCGTCTTCCAATTGGAATTCAAAACGATCTCGTTCCCCGAGTCTGGCTTCGCCAGCAAGATGTATCGATGAGAATTGTCAGACGGATTCGACATTTCGGTTCTTCTAGGCGGTGTTCCGGATTCAATGGGCTTGGGAATTTTCGGAAATTGTCCACGCGGCGGTAAATGATGAATCGGAGGATGAGGGACGCTTTGTGGACGAACGTTAACAGTTTCCGGCCTGTGGTGGACCAAAATCTCGGAGTGCACGTGACCTTGACCACTGAGAACGCCAGAATTGTCAGGATGTTTAATTAGATGTACGTCTGATGGTTTCTTCTCTGGTCTGTTCAGTGGCGCTTCCAATTTATCTTGCGGTCTTTCGTAGTCGAAACGACCTGGTGACAAGGGGATTATCGCTGGACGATTCGAGGGATGTTTTTCTGGTAATGTCTTGAAGTTGTGCGGCGGAGATGGTGGAACCATGTAGTCTGCCGGGTTCTTCCCATTGGAATATTGAGGCAGGTCTTCGACCTACAAGATTAAGATTAAGAAGGTAATTTTTCGTTGGTTAAATAAAGTTTGGAGCAGGAGTTCGGAAACCGTAGGAGAATTATTAAATTGAAAGTGAATGTGAAAAATTTTAAAATATGCATTGTCTTTTACATTTTTCTGAATCTGAATGAAATCTACAATTTGAGAAAGCTATCTGTGAAATTTAACTTTGATGAAAAAGGAAATTTTCTATATCGTATCTATTTTATTTTTGAAGAAAGATACACTGGTACCATTTTCTTAATAAGACTCTCTCTAAATACTATTCACATTTAAATGTCAAAGAATAGAAACTTACTCTTTGGATTCCAACGAATCCTAAACCAACCTCCGATTCAGGATACGGTGATGGATCGTCGAAATATTGTCCACTGATGTGTGGTTCGTTCGTATCACCAAATATCAATGCTTGAGTACCACCTTGAGGTATCACCACGTTGGCTACCTGACTGGGTTGAATATTCACTAGTAAAGGCTGCCCTGTCGATCTGTCGATGACGTGTGGTACTTGATGAACAATAGGTTCTGTCGGCGTAGGTTTCGACTCTGAAGTTTGAATAACAACAGGAGTATCTGGGAGTAAAGGATCTTTTTGAGCCCATGGTGGTCGTTTCTGGTCTTCGGATGGAACGGTGGGCCACGGTTTCTCTATTGGAGACTTTCCTGAGTCGATTTTCTGGAATATTCGCAACGAAATTTTAAAACAACGATACCATTAACCCACAATTCATAATTATTACAAATCAGTATCGAACGTTATAAATTAAGTGAAAATATGAATTTAATGTGAAGCACTACCGACTTTGGAAATTTACTATTAAGTATTATTGGAAAATTTAAAGATATACAAAACCAATCTTCGATATTTTACATCAAAACCAAAGAAATCCCTCAATTAACAATTATCAAAGTTAAATTAATTTATTCTCCAAAATACCAAATCGTATATCAAACGAAAAAAAGGAAAATCTTGTTGTCCACGGAACAACACGACTCGCATATCGCATTAAAAATTTCAATCTTCATAAATAAGTCCATTACGTACCAGGTCAAATTGAGGTGGCGGAGGAAGTTTCAAAGGATCCTTAGCACTCCACGGTCTCCTAGGTTTCTCAGGACTCCACTCCGGTTCCTTGAGGTTGGAATTCGGATTCGCGTACTGTTCCACGTTGGGTCTGTCCGGTGGCTTCAACAAAGGATCGTTCTCCAACACGTCTTGCTTCGTACCTATTCTCTTCGGCGGGGACGGCTGCACCGGAAGCAATTTCTGCGGTTGTTTCGCTATCAACGTAGGATTCACGTCGACCGGCATTGAAACCGGGATCTTCAGGTGTTCCTTGTAGATCTGGTGCGCCGGGTATATCTGTATTTGCGGACCTTTGTGGCCTTGAAGCGTTTGCTGAGACTGAATATCGTCACGATCGTTCTCCACCACTTCGAGAACAGGATGAACTGGTATGTTGGGAACCGGTAGCGGCGGCGGTTTCATTCCAATGTGTTCCTCGTCCTCCAAGAACGTTTGAGGTGGTCTCGGTGCCATTTTCCCTGGTTTGCCTATGATCACGTCGCTGTTCGCTGTGATTACTTCGCCCGGGGAGATTGGAATTCCATCCGCCAGGCTGGACGCAACCTTGTGACGGGTCTCGGCGATGTAGTTGTGGTTGAGGTTCGCCAGATGCGTACCTTTGTGGAGATTTTGTGACTGTCAGTCGATTTGTTAGACGTTTTGTCGTATGTATTCTATTTCAGTGAAATTAAACGAGAGAATATTTAATCTATTCTGATTATCACTTTTCACTTCGTTATTTAATTGCGAGAGATTTTTTTATAGTGGTAATTAATTAAAAGTAAAAATTATTCGATTTTCTCCACTGGGCCATTTTTTTATCATCTCGTTCGAGAGAAATATTGTCGCGTAATTTTTATCTCAAATTTCACGTTACCAATGGAGCGTTCGCGTGCAGTTACCTATGTTTTGACTCTCGGCAGCTTCGATGTCTCCGTCAGCGAACTCAGCGACAGGTATGTAAATTGGCGATCTTTGCGTAGTCACTTCCTGCGTTTCCGCCTGCGGCATCGAATCGTTTCTTCGCGTTGCCGTTGTCTTTCCCTGCAGCAAACCGGCCATCGCCGTAATCACTGGCCCTAGAGCCGACAAACTATTGATTCCCAACGATCCTAGGCTTAGAAGGTTGCTCATTTGAAGATCGCTCGTATTCTGGCTCGTGGGCTTTTTATTTTGCTCGGACTCCGTAGAAACTGTTACGTTGTTCTCCTACGATATCATTTTGAACAAATTATTTAACAACCCAGGAATAATATAAAAATTATAAAATCAAATATTCACGGTTTTTATATTTTAAATTCAGTAGAGACTGAACAATAGAGTTTCCAACAACAAGAATAATCTAAAATCTCTTAATGTTTACGAATTTTATATTCCGAACATCGATTACTTGATTGATCAGTTCGGTAGGCTTCAAATTTGGCTCGTTAACGACTGGAGAAGGTTCGGTAGACACGAAACTGGCGGAGATCGTGTCGTCTTTCTGAACGTCCATCGAGGAAGTCGCTTCCGGGAAGTTGGTGCTCGTTGTAGGATCGATCTGATCCTCTTCGTCGAAGAAGATGATCGTTGATCCGGTAACAACATTTTTCACGGGATCGGAATGATGAGCTGTTGTTAACAGAGCGTTCATGTAGCCAGCGTCTAGCAAACTTGGCGCTATCGACTCTGTTACTACGTTCTCCACAATGTGCGATCTCGAGGAGACTGTGGTTGAAGTTTCTCCATCTGGCCCTGCCTGAAATTGAAAACGAAAATTTCATATACTAATCTATAATAATCATTAATAGCATTGTTACAATAATTATTAAAATGTCCACATCGATCATTAATAAATAAATCAAGTATAATATTTTAAACCTAAAAATCCCTCAATTCAATTAAACTCAATTCTTTGAAACTCAAAGATTATTGTTGTTTAATTTTTATTTAAGAAATTATGAACTTATGCCTACTTTCTAACACAATCAATTACCTGAAGCAACGTCGTAAAATAGGTAAACGTAGTGAGGTACGTCTTGGTGGCGAAGATTTGAATTGGTTCCGGTGTAGGATTCACCATCGCTGTCTTCGTGGTCTTTTTGACAGGCACTTTCTCCAGTACAACGTCCGTCGACGTCGCTACGTTCGTACGCACCACGGTGCTACCTTTCTCCAGGAAGGTATTGTAATAAGTATAGGTAATGTAGTATGTCTTCATGACGTCTGTCATGTTCTCCTCTGTGCTGTCTAGCGCTGTTAACGTGGTCGTGACGCTGGTTGGACGAGGAGGTGGTGCTGATTCTGTTACTATGAGCTGAAAGAAACATCGCCAGTCGTTATTCATTGCTGCCAAAATACAGTTATCCCTCTTTTTCGCGTATCTTTTTTTTCTTTTTATTTTTCTACAATACTGCTACAAAATCTGGAATAGAAAATCGCAAGTCCCTGCGATAAAAATGCACAGATAAAAATTGCAAGTGTTAATAAGATCAAATCGAATCGACGAATAAATCACTTTTTCGACGAACCTGGGTAATGGTATCGCTAGTGGTTTCTATTCTAGTGCGTCCATCCTCCATGAAAGTCTTCTCCAGCATCCTAGTGCTGAGATACGTATTTGTTTCCGGTCGAGGTGCTTCTGACGGTTCGAGAATCATGTCCAAATAATGCTGTGGCGCAGTAACTGTATTTGTAATCACTTTCGTGCTGCTCTCCAATGCGTCGTTTATGTTAGAGTGATCGGTGTTTAACGTCAAGTAAGTGTAGGTGGTTTTGAACACTTCTGTGTGCAATGTCGGAGATGCTTCTAATGTTACCGCTGCGGTTTCAGATCCGGGCTTCCTGTGACGTTCTTCGGTCGCTGTGTTTGCTATCACCTACAGTGATTTATTAATAATACAAATGAGAATTTTCACACTGAACATATAGTGCGATATAATACTGCGCGATTGAAAATAGCGTCAGAAATAACATCTTTAGAAATTCAGAAATGCTATATCATTTTTTACGTCATTAACTACTGTGGTACTAAGTAATACAGAGCAATTGATTAGAATAGATTCTGTAATGATAGATGAGATAACAATAAAGTGAGTCGATTATATCAAGAAACGTTAAGACGGGTTAACCAAGATAAATCTATTATATTAGAATATGTCAAGAAATAGAAGATGAACTGCACGCTCAGATCGATTAGAAAAGAAGAAAAGAAAAATTCTTTTATTCGAGATGTCAGCGTTTGGAAACAAAAACAAATACACAGGCAAAAAGAATTGAAATTAACTCGTCTTAGGTTCAGAAAATAAGGCGGCAGAATTTAGAATTCAATAGACTCGAATAGTTCGCAAAAATATTATATTCTACCTGCTGCTCGGTCGATACAATAGTCGTTCCATCTCTCGTGATGGTGGTAAGGTACGTAAAGGTGGTGGTGCACGTCTTGGTGACAAATTCATTCGGTTTATCTTGCGGAAGCATCATGACCACGGTATCGGACAATGTCAACGTAGGCTGTGGCATCGAGTTCTCCCATCGTAACGCCGGTGTTGGACCAGCCACGATCACTTCCACTCCGTTCGACATGACACGCGTAGCTAGATTTAACCTTCGACCTTCTTCATCTTTTCCATCGTGCTCTCCTGTCATTACAATTCCACCATCAGACGATTAAAACGTGACAAACGATCGCCAACGATTACATTTTGCCAATGTGAATTTATTTGCTTTAGACTGCGAACTTTTATGCAAATCCACGGTTTCGAAAAACACAATTTAATTCTACTACAATCGCGGTGAAAAATTGTTTCACGTAGAAGGCATTGTGCGTCGGATGTTATTACAATTTTTTATTTAAGTATATTCCTATAAACGCATAAAAATCCACAGTTTTATAATTAAATTTATTCATAATATTTAATAACGTATAATTTAATTATAATTATGTATTTAAAATATTTATCGGAATTATTCGTACACTAGAGATAAATATATCTGAAATAAACGTGAAATAATTTAGAAGATTTACAAGGGTTTTACACGTGCACGCCTGAATAATCATGCTCTTCGTGACGGATCTGCTAACTGGCAAGGGTTATTCAGGCGCCGGAGCGTGAACGATCACTATAGACGATTAAAACATCTTTCAGAAGATACAAAAATATACAAGAATAGACTACAGAAATGAAACAAACGATAGATTATAGTATGTATGTACAAGACTTCATTTACAAATATGTACAGTCCACTCAGAGTTCTATTGTACAGAAAACAATTTAGATTGCCATTAGACAAGCCAATCGAAGTGAGACTCGGAGGAGAGTCTGTACAGTTTCGAACGTGCTAAATCGCACGAAAGAAAGAAATGTCATATTAGTCTAAAGGAGAATATTACTTTTTACATCGATCAGCCAGTGTCCTGAACGAATCGTTCTTCGAATATCAAATTACACGATTGAGAATTATTTCGTTGTCGGAAATTTAAAAGAAATTTATCAAATTGGCAATAAATCTAAAAAAAAAAAATTCAAAATTCCTGGAAAACGAATCTTTCAATTCCCAAAATCTCCCTACAAATCCAAAGATCTCCCATACCAATTTAATTTAATTGGCAACGTGTTAATTACTCGCTAAAAAAAAAAAAAAATATCAAAGAGATCCTCGGAATGAGACCCAAGAAAAATCGTTGAGTGAAATTTTCAGAAAAAATGCGAAGATCGGTTCAGAACACCGGAGGACCGCGGATAGAAAAGGCTCGATCGCCTAGCCAGCGATCGTGGTAGCTACTCACCAGAGGCGGGCACCGGGCTATACACAGACGACTCCACGGTAGGAGTGACAGTCACCGTGACCGGCACCGTCAACGTAAGCGTCGTTACTCTCGGTCGCACGGTCGTCGACGACGTCACTTTCGTCTCCAGTCCGTTCAGTTGCGTCACCACGTACGTGTACGTTCTCAGTCTCGTCGACGTCACCACCGTCTCCGTATAATAAACGCTCGTGCTCGGTTCTAGATCCGGTGTTTCGGACCTGGTCTCGTGCTCCGCGTGAACCGGCCTCGACGGCAGGATCTCGGGGAAATCTGGCCTCGACAGGGACAGGTAAAGATCGTCGGCCAGTCCTGCCTCGATCTCCTCGGGAGTGGGCGACGAGATCGACGTCGTCACCGAATCGACTCGTGACGTCGCCTCGGGAAGTCGCGTCGGGGTCGTCGTTGTCGTGTCTGACAACGACGAAGTGTACTCGGCACCTAAGGGGATCACGCTTGGGATCTCGGAGTCGTCCAAGTAGCTAAGGGTGCTGGACTCGTACGACGTCGACTGCGATGTTTCTAGAGGCAGAACGCTGGCGAAAGTGGGCAACTCGTCGAAGAAGATGGTCGTGGCAGACGACAGGATGGACTCGGTAGCTGGCTTTACGGACTCCACCGTTAGGTCTTTCTCGCTTTCTTTCAGTTTCGACGTGGTTTCTGGAGATTGTTCGAGAGTGGTGACGTCTATCGCGTCTGGGAAGGCTCTGTCGGTTTCTGGTTTCGAACTTGGGCTGAGTGCTATACCGGGATAGCTGTCGGGAGATTGGGAATCGTCCTCGTTAGGCTCTTCATTGACATCTTTCATTTGGAAGTCTTGAGATTCTGTCGATACTTCTGAAGATTCATCGTCAATTCGGGGAGTGACACGAGCTTCGATGTCTCTTTCGAGAGAATCTTCAGAATCTTTCATCGACAATTCCTTGGAATCGGCTTCGATTCGTGTGATATTCGATTTCACGTTATCTTCGAGGGAATCTTCGGTGTCTTTCTGTGAAGTTTCTTCAGGTGCAACAGTTGTAACGCGGGATTCGATATCTTTCTCGTACGATTCTTCCGACTCAGATTCCGATTCACCAGACGATGCAGGATGTTCAGTACTACTGTATTCCTCTTCCATTTGATCAGAAACTGTAGTTGTCTTTGCTTCGTCAGAAACATTAATCACCGTAGTTTCTCCCACAAGTGTCGTGGTTTCTATCGTCTCTGTCGTTGTACGTTCTCTTTCTTCGTCCTCCTCCTCAGCTTTCTCAATCTCAGCATGAACAGTCGTTCCGTCCTCTTCGGGGTTCTCTTCCAAACTCGTCTGTGCCGTAGTCACTTCTTTTCCCTCTCCCACTGATATTTCAGTTGTCAAAATCTCTTCTTCCTTCGAATCAACCGATTCCGTGGTCTCGCGATCAATTTCGTGCCCGTCCGATGTTGGCTCCTCTTTCTCAGATAAATCAAGAGTTTCAGCTGTGCTCGAAGTGCTCTCTTTGGTCGTCGTTGAAACGTCTTTTCTCGCACTTTCAGTCGTAGTGTCGGTGTATTCTTCGTCTTCGTATTCGTCCTCGTACTCGTCGTCAGACGCGGGGAAGAAGAAATTGTCGGTGATAATGACGGGCGAACTCACACTGCTCTCCTCCACAATCATCCTCGACTCGGTCACCCGAGCGTTAAGTTCGTCCGACTTGTTATCAATTACGTTAGCAGGTTCTTTCAACTCTGGCGTAACTGTCGAACCGATATCTTCCTTACTCTCGATCTCAATCTCGTCGGGTTTGCTATCGATAACGTTAGGCGGCTCTTTCAACGCTGGCGTGACGGTCGAACCGACGTCTTTCTTGTTCTTCTCATCTTCGTCGGCATCGTCCTTTTCAGAGTACTCGTCGTCGTACTCGTCGGAGGAGGACGGCGCGGTGAAGAACCCGGTCGTGATTATGGCGAAACTAGGCGTAGGCTGCACCGGTCTAACGGCGATCAGTTTCTTCCTAGTAATTCTGCCCCTTCTGCTGTCGCTGCTCGTGGGCAAGACAGTGGTCGACCCAATCTTCCTGCGTCTGGTAATAGTCACTTTGTGTCTACCAACGTCTGGTCTCGCAACACTGTCACCAGTCTTCGAATCGGCGTGGACGGTGTTGGCCAAGCCTAAGCTCCTCACTCGAGTCACGACGATTCTCCTCGGTGTGTGACTCGCCACGGTCAACTGATTCGGAGTGGAGTCCTCGGTCTTGGACGCGACAGGTCTCCTTCTAACTACCGTTAGCTTGTGCTGCCTTCCGTTCTTTCTAACCACAGGCACGCGGATTCTGACTCGTTTTCGGGCCGTTTCCTCCAGGTAGTCTTCGTTACTCTCCGGAGTGAGACTTTGAGAGTTTTCTCTTTGCAATTTGCCAGCGGAGTCGCTGGTTAAACGATAATAGTCGTCGTTGATCTCCGGAGTTGGACTTTCAGGGTTCTCTCGAGAAAACTCGCCAGCGAATTCGCTGGCTAGTCGATAGTAATCTTCGTTGATCTCCGGTGCCAGGCTTCTGGAGTTCTCGCCGGGGAATTCGTCGGTCAATCGATAGTAATCTTCGTTAATTTCCGGAACGAAAGTTCTGGCGTTCTCTTGCCGCGATTTACTAGCGAAGTCACTGGCCAGTCTGTAGTAGCCTTCGTTAATCTCCTTCGGGGCGAGACTTGGAGAGTTCTCTCGACGCGATTTGCCAGCGAAGTCGCTGGTTAATCGGTAGTAACTGTCGTCAATCCCCGGAATGAGACTTCTCGGGTTCTCTTGTCGCGATTTGCTAGCCAAGTCGCTGGTTAGTCGATAGTAGTCGTCGGGGAAGTAGTCATCTGAAAAGGCGACGTGTCTCTCGCTTGCGTGCACGCACTCGTGATCCTTTCGCCACGACGAGTATAGTTCGTGGGGCATGGGTGTGCGCTCGTGAGTGAAGAACGAAACTATAGGTCAACCGTGAACAACGAAAGGTGGGGGAAGGTTGATCTCTCGAGTGTTAGGCGAGTCATCCGGGGTGGGGTTAAATAACAAAGACAGATGATCATGGGTGTCAGACACATCCTACCCTTGGTCCGTTTCGTGCACTTAGTACAGCTGGGTGTTATCGATCTAATCGCGTCGACAAAACACCGGCAAAACACCAGAAACAGAGAAAGTACCATGCGTTGCGCGTGGATCTTGTCGCGTGTGGGCGCGCGTGCGGCGGCGGATTCGAGGCTGTGTTTGCGGAGGAATGTATTCGAAGGACAAATGCAGAGGGAAGATGAAAAGAAGAAGTAGTCGGGAGAGCGAACAGGACGTGAGATGGGTTACGAAGAGAGCGATGGATCTTTGTCGAACAACCGAAGCTGCGAAGAATTCGATCTGTGGTATATGTCGTGACGCGTATCGTGATCGTTGTAGAAATCCTGCACGAAAACGCGCGCAAAATACGAACCAGAGTGAGGTTCGTCAGCTTCGGTCTAGGTGGGTCTTTTTCACGTTGATGGACTTAGATATATTAATTAATCGAACGATGACAATTAAGGGTAGAAAGGGGGTGGGGGAAGGATTATCTAATGGTGCGTGTATTCGGAAGTTAGGTGTGGATGGACGTGGAAATGTGCCGTCCTACGTCACCCACTACGCTCTCGAGACTCTGTGTCGGTGCGTGCGCGTCTAGCGAGTCCTCGCTTCCTGCCAGAACCGTGACGTCTTCCGATCCCTCGTGCAACGACGGCGGGATCGAGGGTCGAACCTCGACGATCAAATCTTCCCCGGTGTCTCGTCGTCTTCGAGACGAACTGGCCGTGTCGGTTACTTTCACGGTGCTCAGTACCGTGCTAAACTCCCCTGGCCTTCTCCCTGACACGTACAACGTCACTATGCTAGATTCCTCCTTGGCAGTGGTGGCGACATGATCCTCTTTCCTGTCGTTCGCTTTACCGCGACCGTTCTTCGACCTGGAAGACTTGTGATACTCCTGAACGTCGTCTTCCTCCTCGGAGTACTCGTAACTGTCCTGTTTATAATCTGAATCTGCCGGCTGGTGCCTCCTCTCTACCTCACCGGGCAGAGTGTTACTCTGGGTGAACGGAGGAGCAGCGAACAGAGGGTCCAATAAGGGATTGCCGTTCTTCTGAGGCTGCTGAAGCAACAGTAACAACGAGTTCAAATTTGCCGCCGGTAATGCAGCGGTGGGCGTGACCACCACCGTGTCCGTAATGAACTCTGTCGCGGTCACCACGTCTGTCGAGGTGTCCACCAGGGTGGTGAGAATCTCCTTGCCTCGAAAAGTGAGTGGAATCACGGTGCTCTGCTGCTTAGTGATGGTAGTTATGTACGAGGTGGTGCGCGTGTTATACTGAGTGGACGGCGTACCCTGCGGCTGCAGCAACGGGTTCGCCTGACCTAACTGACCGAGGAGCAGCTGCGACAGAAGGATGTTGGCGAGTGGCGCGTTTCCAGGGAGAGAAGGTTGCACTGTGGAGACCACGTTCTCCACGGAGTAGACGGTGGTAGGTACGATTACGGATTGAGAGGCTCTGCGACCACCTAGAGTGGTCAGCGTGTACGAGACACGAGTGGTGGGTGTCTCGTGGAGCAGGAATCGGGTTACTTCGGTCTGACCTTGAGGATTCGTACCGGTCACCTCGCTAACGATCACCACCAACGGTTTGCCGTCGCCACCTGTCACCGTGCTGTACTGAGACGGTGCCAAAACCTCCGTGCTAGCTTGAGCGGTTATTATGCTCCTGTGTTCCGTGACGCCATTGTTCACCACGGGTATAGTGACCTCCGTGGGCACGTAATGGGTCACTGTGATCGTTCCATCGTAGTCGGGATACACGGTGGGCGCCTCTCTGATATCTTCCAAAGATCCTCTCGACCTACTGGAACCTCTTCTGTTACCATTACGAGACCTCGAGGAAGAGCGACTGGAAGGAGGCACGCGTCTCGAGTTGCCGTTCTCCGAAGATTTGCCCGAACCGTTTCGTAGCCGCAGAGACCTTACTCCCGTATTATTACTCGATCTTCCGTTCGTCCTCGAGTTCGAGGAACTAGGTCTTTTGTAAGTCGTCCTGCCAGACGTTCCATCTTTTTCTCTCAAAGTAAACGGTCTGCCATTGTTCGAAGTCGAAGAAGGCTTTATTCTGGTGGCACCGTTTCTATCTCCATTGTTCGACTGTTTTGATCTGTTTCTATTGTTACTCTGACTCAGCTCCGAAGACTCTGCCGACATTTTCTCCGGATTATTGGACTTGGACGTTGGCCTAGTCGCTGTAAGAGATCGTCCGCGATTGTTGTATCGAGCAATAGGTTTGGAACTGGACTTGGAAACTTCCTCTTTGCTAGACACGCTGGTCTCGCTCACGTCGAACTTCTCCTCAGGCCTCGACGAATTCTGGCTCGGTCTTCTGAACCGATTGGTCAACGATCTCAACTGACTCGCTTGCCGACGCACTCTCCTCGATCTGTTGAACGGCCTGATCTGCACGGCTGGTTTAATAGACTTGCCAGATCGGCGATTGACAGTAGTTCTATCCTCGCGTTCGGATCCCTCGTAATCGTTGTCGGTTATTTCTTCCACTGGCTCGTCTTCCAAATTCTCCTCCCCTTCTCCTTCCAGGTCATCGCCTGGTTCTATCTGTTCTTCAGCGGGTAGTTCTTGCTTCCTTCCAAGTAGACCTCGAGGCGGGAATAAACCCGTGCCGCCCTGTCTAGGTCTGGTCGATATCGGAACGTTGACTCTACCGTTGGTCCTAGTTCCACCAGTAGTTACTCTAGGAACGGATGGAGAGGTGGTTCTGCTTAAATTTCCACTTCTTCGCGTGGTCGTTGATGGTCTAGGCGTGGTGCCGGCTCTTCCAGAGCCTGGATTTAAATTAGGCCTGCGGAATCTGAGCAGAGGGTTCGTCGATCTTCTCGAGGATTCGGTGGTCGTCTGCAGAGGCGTCGTCACCGTCTCTCCTCCCTCTGCATCCTCTGTATAGAGCGTCTCCTCGGTCACCAGCGTGGTCGTGGTAAATTCATTAGCATCGTTCTCCTGATCGTCGTGTTTAGCCGTAGTCTGGCCTCTCAACAAGGTAGACGAGGGTCTGATCGGCGATCTGTATCTAGTGGAAGCTCCAGGGAAAGCTGAGCTTGCGCGTGACGCGCTCCTGGCCGAAGACCCTCTGATCGACGTAGGCCCTCTTCTGTTCCCTTGGAAAACGGAAGATGGTGATATTCTAGACTGGGCTCTGCCTCTGGTGCTTCCAGTTACAGTCGACAGACTAGAAATGACTGCACTCGTCGAACCCCTCCTTCCCGAGAACCTTCTGGTGCCTGACTGATTCAACGTGGAGGAGTACGGACCTATCGGCGAGGTGACTCGACCTCTGGAGGAAGCGAATCTGTTCCCCTTTCCAGCCAACGTCGCGGTTATCGTGGGTGTTATATCTGTCCTGGTGATAGTCGTTGCACCTTGAACACCTTTCCTCTTCGGGTTGAACGTCGGCCTATTCCTCGAAATGAACGGTCTGATCACCGGGGTGAAAGTCCTCTTTCTGGTAGAGAACGTGAGTCTGGATTTCTTCTTGGAACTCTGTCCATCCTCTCCCTCCTCGTCCTCCTCTTCGCCCTCCTCGTTTTGCTCCGAATCCTCATCCTGATCCGGTGGCTCCGTTGTCGGATCTTCCGACAGGGAAGACTGAATCACTGCTGGCGAAGGTGAGATCGTTGGGATCTCGGTGGGTCTGTTCGGTGGCAAAGTCGAAGTAGGCGCGATATGCGCCGTGGGTGTTGCAGAGAGGAAGCTGGAAGTGCTCTCTATGATCTGAGCGTATCTACCCTCGATACTGGTACCGATCACTTTCGACTGATAGAACGTGGTGGTGCCGTTATTCTGGATTTGGCCTTGGATCAATCTCACTAGACCAGTCCTGTGGCCCTGAGTGGGCAAAACAGTAGCTTTCCTCTCCTCGTTTATCTTCGTGCTCGAGGTACTCTCGATAACCTTCGCGTAAAGCCCGTCGAACAGAGTTCCAATTTGCTTTGTGGTGAAGTAAATCGTGGTGATCTCGTCGGCGTCTATCACGCTGCCCTTGTTCATCGACAGAACTCCTGTTGGCAAGACGGGAGTAGCCGCGGACGATGGCAAAGGCGGCGTTTCTACTCTCGTCGAGCTTTCAACGACCTGAGCGTACAGTCCGTCTATGTAAGTACCGTGAACGTCAGTCATGAAATGAGTGGTGGTACCATCGTTGACTCGGCTAGATCTGATCGTCGAGATTAAACCAACTTTCGGAAGTTCGCTGGTCTTCGAGGAGGTGACTGGCTTGTCCTCAGTGGCTAAAATTTGCTTGTACACTGGTCCGTCGACCGCTCTTCCGGTTGCCGCTTGCTGAGTGGCCGTTTGTCGCGTTGAAACGACATTAGGAATAGAGACACTGGTAACGGTCTCCAACCTGCTATTCAGAATGGTTTCGTTGCCAATGTAGGAAGTGGTAAAGTACGTGTAAGTTGTATAATAGGTGGTAGGTTCAGGCGTGATCGCAGTAGATTCTAAAACACTGTCAGAGGATGGAGTAGCGATATCTTTAGAACTCGTGGTCTCTGGTTCCTCAGCTCTAGCATTCTCAATGGGAACTACGATCGAAGGAGTCACCTCGTTGTCAGCGGTAATCTTCGACTCTTTCTCGTCTTCGCCGTACGACGACGTCGTTGGTCTGTAAGTCATGATCACGCCTAATTCCACAGTAGGCGTGGGCGCTACTCCCGGTGTCATAACGTTGCTCACGGTCTCCTCTCGACTGGTGGTCACAGTATCGCCACCTCTGTAGAACGTGGTCCAATAAGTAAACGTCGTGAAGTAGGTAACTGGTAAGGTGCTGGTTTCTACAGGTACCACGGCAGTTGGCCTAATCGTCTCTGTGACTACGTTCGTAACCGTCTCCAGACGACTGACCACGTTAGACTCGTCCCCTTTGTACATCGTTGTGAAGTAAGTGAAAGTGGTGTAGCTCGTCTGAAGCAGAAGAGTCGGCGCTGGCTCTACATCGTGATGATTGGATTCCGAAAGTTCCTGATCTTCGGGAACCGCGTTCCTCTTATCCATTACGTCTAGAACAGTTCCACCTCCCGAACTGGAGGAAGATACCACGTCCGTGACCATGGATCCCAAGACTTCGCCTTCCATCGGTGGGTTTGGCGTCACTTGAGCGTTCACCTCGAAATCTCGGAACAAATTTCCCGTGGTGCTTGGATGTTCCGTCGTGGTGTCTGGTGCATTCGTAGTTCCCTCGGCTGTACTGGTTCCTTGCTGTTGCACTTTCTTGGCAAGAAGAAGAGCTTCTTCTTGAGATTTCTGTCTCTGAAGGGCTTCCAGGTAGGCCAAGATCTCCGGAGGTGGTTTGTTAGCTGATTCAGCTTTGGCTGTCTCTTGAACAACAGGCACCACGGCTGTTGGTCGAATAGTCTCGGTAACCACGTTGGAGAACACCTCTGTCCTCGTCTCAATCTCCGTTTCATCGTCGACAAAAATGGTGGTGAAGTAAGTGTAAGTTGTGTAATAAGTTTTAATCTGTTCCTTCGCTCGCTGAGTGGGCAAGGCAGG